ATGACACAAATCCTTGCAAAAAAATAATTGTTTACATAAAATGCTGATGGTTAAAGCTTGCAAACTGGGCTTGGCCCAGAGGGCCTGCCCGCCTCGCCTGCCAACACATTTTTATAATCAAATTAAAATTCCACTATTCTTCTTTTATAATTAAATTCCTAATTTAGATTTCAATTTTTGTAAATATAAATTTATAAAATTTTAAATATTAACGACACAAAACCTTACCAAAAAAATAACTATTTATTATTATTTTGTAAATCTAATTGTAATAAATGAAAGTTCATCTCTGAAATAAAATATAAAAACCTAGACGCAACTATAAGAGTCTTTTTTGTGTGGATAAACATAAAAATCTATTACATGCTAATAGTTAGAGGTGACAAAACTGGGCTCCGGGCTGGCCCCACCAACACATTTTTATAAGTAAATTAAAATTTCATCCTTGCCTTACCAAACAAAAAAAAAATCATCCTTCTTCTTTTATATTTAAATTCCTAAATATGATTTTAATTTTTGTAAATATAAATTGGTAAAATTCAAAATACTATTGACACAAATCCTTGCAAAAAAATAATTATTTACATAAAATGCTGATGGTTAAAGGTTGCAAACTGGGCTTGGCCCAGAGAACCTGCCCGCCCCGCCTGCCAACACATTTTTATAATTAAATTATAATTTCCCTATTCTTCTTTTATAATTAAATTCCTAATTCAGATTTCAATTTTTGTAAATACAAATTTATAAAATTCCAAATATTAACAACACAAATCCTTACAAAAAAAAAACTATTTATTATTATTTTGTAAATCTAATTGTAATAAATTAAAGTTCATCTATGAGATAAAATATAAAAACATTGACGCAACTATAATAGCCTTTTTTTGTGGATAAATTTAAAAATATATTACATGCTAATGGTTAGAGGTGACAAACTGGGTTCGGCCCAGAGGGCTGGTCCACAACACATTTTTATAATTAAATTAAAATTTTATCTTTTTTCTTTTATAATTAAATTCCTAAATCTGATTACCAAAAAAAAATTCCTAAATATGATTTTAATTTTTCTAAATACAAATTTGTAAAATTTCAAATAGAAACGACACAAATCCTTGCAAAAAACAATTATTTATTATTATTTTTAAATCTGATTGTAATAAATGAATGTCTATCTCTCATATAAAATATAAAAACATAATTGTGACTATGGCGTATTTATTTTTTACATAACTCATCGATTAGATGACTATATTTGATGTGCACAATTTTGATCACTCTGGATAGCAGATTTTTGTTTGTGGTTGACATTTGCAAAGTTCTGTGTCAATGCTGTAGTTTTTTCCACCTGAAATATAAAACAAGATAACAACACATATTTTTGTAAGTATAAGATTTGCAGTGCGATTAACTAACCACGGCGGACGACAAATATTTTGTTCTTTTTCTCCCGGACATCGCACAGGTAATTCACTAGTTGTATTCAAAATTTGTTAACAACTTGACATTTTCAATCTGAAATTCTGCTTCCGTTTTGACACATGGGACCATGGAATTCGTGTGCTGCTAAAGAATGGCCTAAATATCGTTGTTGAAGTTACACTCTTTTTCTTAACAATAAAATAAAACACAATATAAAAGGCTTACATGTGTGACCTCAAAAATCGAACTTGCATGACTCTCAAAAATCCTAACAGTTTTGTCTAACTTTCATTTCACATTTGCAACGATAAACTGATAATACAAATATGCATTTACATCATTGCACTAGTAACCTTAAAACCAAGTTGTATGTTCACTTGTATATGACATCCATCAAAGTAGCCTAATCGGTGAAGCTGTAGATATTGGAAGAGCAGTTTTTAAGACTTCAATAAATTTGTTATCAAAAACACTATTTTTTCCATGGATTTGGTTCACTCTTCAGGTAAAGCGGAACAATTCAAGGAGTTAGTTGCCAATATCATGAAAGAAGGTGGAAAACCAAACTTGGCAGATTATTTCCCTGCCTTGAAGATGGCTGGTCCACAGGGCATTAGAACTCGCAATACTATTAATGCTGGGAAGGTATTGGAGCTCTTCCATGACTTGATTAACCAAAGGATGAAGCTGAGATCGGTAACAGGTTTTGACACCAACAATGACATGTTAGAAACTTTGCTTAACATATCTCAAGAGAACAATAGCCAAGAAATGTAAAAGATAAATATGGAACATTTAATGATGGTACATTTTCTCTCTATCTCTATTTTCTTTAGTCCATTTCTGGTTTTGATGTTACAATTTAATTAATTTCTCACTTGGTTATATTTTGATTCAATTATTAGACCTTATATGTAGCTGGGACTGATACAATTACATCAACATTAGAATGGGCAATGACTGAGCTACTTAGCAATCCAAAAACAATGGAAAAAGCTAAAAGGGAGATTAAGGAAACCATTGGACAGGGTAACCTATTGAGGAATCAGACATTGCTAGATTACCATATTTACAAGCAAAAAAAAACAGAGACATTCCGTTTACACCCCTCAGTGCCATTCTTAATCCCTCGAAAAGCTGATATTGATGTACAAGTCAGTGGCTACACCATTCCAAAAGGTTCACAACTCCTAATAAATGTGTGGGCTATTGGGAGGGATGAGAGCATATGGAACAACCCAAATTTGTTTTCACCAGAGAGGTTCTTGGGGTCAGACATCGATGTTAAAAGCAGACATTTTGAGTTATACCATTTGGTGCTGGTGGAGAATGTGTCATGGCTTATCATTTGCTATGAGCTATCAAGCATCCATACTTCTCAAATTTTTTTCTTTAACATCTCGTATAACGTATCGAAAATGCCGGTGACAGAGCCAGCGACAAGTTTTAGGTAGTGCCAAAAAATTATCAAAATATTTATCATAATTATACAAATTTATTAGAAAAACTTTTACTATAAATTGTAACACACTTATATAAATTATTTAATAAATAATGTTACATAAAATTGAAAATTTAAATGAATAATAACTAATGATTATATATCAAAGCAAATAAATAAAAAACCACTAACCTTTCCCGTAACCTTTGCTAATATACTTCAGATTCAAAATCAATCTCAAAGTTTCAAGACCAAATTCACTTAATGCTAGGAAGAGGCTAGCTGGAGCAAGACAAAATATTTAGAGCTCTATTTTTCTTCTATTTTTGCTTTTTGTTAATACTGATTGAGTGGACTGATGTTGATGGAACAGGTTAGTTGGAGCAAGGCTCGATGGCACCTTCTCATAATCTTTTTCTTTTATTATTATTATTTTTGTAAATAGAAAAATGAAATTATATATATACAAGGATTTATTATTCTTTATGTTACATAAGAAAAAAACTTATCTCTCACACACACAAATTCAAGATGGATCCCACTTTATTTTCTCTCTCTTTTTTCTTGAAAGTGAACCTCACTTATACAAATAAGTCAGTAGAAGATAATTATTATCTCCTACTACATGAGAAAACTATTACCCATGTATATATAAAGAAAAGAAGCAACTTCGAGAGTAAAATTTGTACACAGTAGACACTAAAGTGGTGTTTTGTTTTTTTGCAGGTGCCAATGTATCAATGTTGTATGGTTATTTGCATAAGGCACCAGAAAAACCAACTAGTAAATATAACTTCTGGAAAAAGAGCTGGTGCCAAGGCACCAACTGGCAACAAAGCAGCTCCGCAGTTGGAAAATGTCGTGTCCGAAACGGTGCTTCATGGAATATGATGGTGTTGTTCTTAACGTTGGGTTCATTGATTAATGCTTTTAATTGGAAGCCTGAAAATGATATGAAACCTGAGGATATTGATAAGGAAGAAGAATTTGGAATGGCCTTACATAAGTCTAAACCCCCTCCGAGTTATTCCAATCAAACTAAATCATTAACCTCACATATAATTCAGTAACGTGCCTTTCCTTGCTCCAATAAAAAAAAATGTACATTCTTCAAAATGGATAAGTATAATATAAAAAATAACTAAAATAAAACATAAATCTCTAAAATTGTATTAACTAATAAATTAAGTTACTCGACAAAAAAAAAGGACCTCACCTTTATTATAGGTGAAAAACAAATGTATTATAATATAAATGAAAAATAATAATCTTATATTGCAAGATATGTTTCCTTCATGCTGTTGAGGTTTAGAGACATTTTCCTGGGATCTACTATCCTTTTTTTTTTTAAACAAAAAACAAAAATACTAGCTTGATTGTCGAAGTATGCCAAAAGAGTAAAAGATATCTTGCAACACGAGATTAGTCAAGCTAATAAATATAAATATCACAAAATATGTATCAATGAGGTAGGATATTCTATTTCTTATTAACAAATATTTCTATTATCAATCTATTATTATTTTTCACCGGTTAGATCTCACTTTTTAGCGGATAATCTCTTTAAAGTTTTTGAAAAAAGGAAAAAAAAACTTTTGAAATACTAATAATAATACGTAGTTATATATACTGGTAGTAATAAGAATATTTGGTAGTAAGATTATCCTATATTTCAACCAATTAGCTCTTAGGGGAGTGGGCTCTTTATGCATAAATTTCATTATCAATAATCACTTATTTAAGAAAAAATATTTTCTTTTTTTTTCTATTAGTGATCCTTCAATTTTCGTTCAGTGTTTTGTTTTTGTTTTTTTTTTAATAAATGTAGACTCCATACAAGACGTGTTTATAGCATAAAAAAAAATATTCTACTGTATAAAAAAAATTGAAACCCTTTATTGAATATATAAAATTTTTGTCATCATAAATTTACATGGGAAAATTCATTCCATGGAATGAAATTGTTTCCTAAAATTGAATCTTATTATCCACGAAAAGCAACCTTACCTTAATAATAATTGGTCGGGTCGGAGCTCCAAACCTTGCATCCATCCATATGAGTATGAGTGGGGAACCCTAGCAAAACCCTGAAGCCTGTTGTTACAACTTACAACTGTTACTGTTATTGGAGGTTGAATGAATGGCCAAAAGCAGCTATGCAGCAGCGGGATTGTTGTCGGCGATAGCTGCCGCATCTGGTTTTTCTGCAAATCACAATAATGCTTACGCCGACGACGATGATTCGCCGGCGACTTCGGCGGCACCGAATACTCGAAATGATCATCCGAGGACGAGCTCTGCTGGCTTTGATCCTGAGGCCCTCGAGAGAGGTGTCAAGGCTCTCAAGGAAATTGCTGCTTCACCCCATGCCAAAAAGGTTTCAACTTTCATCTTTCAAATTCTCAATTCACTTCATCATGTCCTCCATGACATGGTTTTAACTTCTCTCTGTCTTTCTCTTTTAAAAGGTATTTGAAGCTATAAAGAAGCAAGAGGAGACGAAACAAGTTGAATTTGCTGCAAAGGTTGCAGAGTTTAGACAAATTAAAGCACAGCATGAAACTGTAAGTTAATCCTCCTTGGTTTCTTCTGCTTTAGTAAAATGACATGTTGTTAAGTTTTATTATTATTATTATTATTATTATTAATTTTGCTCTGTCCAATGTCCTTCATACACATTTTGCTTGGGATTGTTAATTTTTAATTATTGTAAGTTGAAGTTGTATGATAGTTTAAGAAATCTTATTCATTGCTAGCTTGAGAGTACTAGCTGCATCATGAAATGAAGAAGCTATTTCGTTGCAAGTATGGCCTCAAACAATTGAATACTCGCATGAAACCTTTTTGATTTGTTCTGTCTGTGTTACTTCAGGATGTTTTATGTGTATCTTGTTTTTCATGCATATCAATTGGTTTGCCTGTCAGGAAAGACAAAAGATTATATATGATGAACAAAAGAAGTTAGCACAGCATCAGGCACAAACAAAATCCCAAATGGCTAAATATGAGGATGAGTTGGCAAGGAAGAGGATGCAGGTATTAAACCTTTTGAAACTCGGGATTTTTATTTTGTCATTTTATTAGCATTTCTCATTCTTGCATTATTGTTGTCAGGCGGAAAATGAATATCATAGAGCCAGGAACCAAGAGCTAGTAAAAATGCAAGAAGAATCATCAGTCAGACTGGAGCAAGCTCGACGTGCAACAGAAGAACAGATTCAAGCACAACGAAGGCAAACTGAAAGAGAGAAGGCTGGAATCGAACGTGAAACAATCAGAGTAAGGGCTATGGCAGAAGCGGAAGGAAGAGCACATGAAGCAAAGCTAGCTGAAGATGTTAACAGGAGAATGCTAATTGATCGTGCTAATGCAGAGCGAGAAAAATGGATTGCTGCCATAAATACTACTTTTGACCATATTGGAGGTACATTTCTACCAGATGCACAGTAAGCAATATGCTAATACTTGTATTGACAATCTAAGAAGAAAACAACCATCACTACATTTATGCATTGGGGGTTTAAAATACATGGACTAAATCGTTATGTGTTCATGCTATTGATTTGAAAAAATCATTTCATGTGAACTATTGTGGTAATGTGATATTTTATCCATTTTACTTTCATAATGTTGTTTATTCAGTGAACCATCTGGCTTTGAGCTAGGGCCTATAACTTTCCCTCATAAATCAGCAATTTGTAATTTGCGGGTTGTATTATTTATTCACTTATTTCCTCATTACATGTTGTCTCCCATTATGTAAAGTATTTTAGCTTAATTAGTTGGTTTGATGAACTGCATCAGTATTTTTGCTTGACTGGGTTTGATGAACTTCATACCAATCCCTAAGATAAAAAACTTGATCTATAAATCTATCTTTTGCAGGGGGCTTAAAAGCCATTCTAACAGATCAAAATAAGATGGTTGTAACAGTTGGTGGAGTGACTGCTCTGGCAGCAGGGGTCTACACAACGAGGTATAAATTGTTCAGAATGATTGGAAGAAGCTACTAATTCCTAAAAGAACTCTTTTAGAAGCCTATATTTGAGTCTGTATCTGTCAGCTTAACTATGCAATTAATGATTATTGATGAAATTTTTTTATCACAACTTCTTGTTTTAAGGACGATTTCTTATCTGACTGATGAAATTATATATCTGTCTAATTCTTATCTCAGAAAAATTGCAGTGACTTTGTGTGTTATGCTTATATGTTGCTGTCAGCGAAGTTATAGCTTATGTTAGTATCTTTTGTCCAATGCAGGGAAGGTGCACGAGTTATTTGGGGATATATTGATAGAATATTGGGACAACCATCATTGATCCGAGAGTCCTCCAGAGGGAAATATCCCTGGTCTGGCATGTTTTCTCGTACCATGAGCTCCCTCTCTCGACATACTGGTTCAGGATCTGCTTCTAAAAATGGAAATGGTTTTGGTGATGTAATTTTGCATCCTTCTCTTCATAAAAGAATTGAGCAGCTGTCATCTGCAACTGCCAATACAAAAACACATCAAGCACCATTCAGAAATATGCTTTTTTATGGCCCTCCAGGAACAGGAAAGACAATGGCTGCTAGAGAGTTGGCTCGTAAATCTGTATGATTTTGTGCTTCTCTATTGATCTTGTTATTCTATTTTTCAATTATTTCAAACTAACTACTTTTCTTGTCCCTGGGTTTTTCTGATTTCATGGAGAAATTAAAATTTTGTTGTCCTTTGTATTAATTGTTGTAAATATCATCAACATATTAGCAAAACTATCTTCACATTTTTCTGATATCTTCTATCTTCCTTTTCATCAGTTTTGCTGACAATTTAGGGCCTAGAAATTACAAAAAATTTTGTTTTAAAGGCTCTATAAATTTATTTCCACTTGCCTTTCTAAATTCATAATTCCAGCTTCTTGGTTCTGTGGAATTTCAGTAGTCACTACAAATAGATATTCAGTACCATGCTTCTGGTTATTGCATGTTTTATGAAACATCAAAGTTTATCCTGATCAGTTTACTTTTTGTGCTCATCATGTTATTTTTCATACTGGAATTCTTTCCTTTTGGATAAATTGTTATTTTGTTTTATTTTGTTTTTCAATTTATGCAGGGATTAGATTATGCATTGATGACTGGAGGAGATGTTGCTCCACTGGGATCACAGGCTGTAACAAAGATACACCAATTGTTTGATTGGGCTAAGAAATCGAAAAGGGGTTTGTTGCTTTTCATTGATGAAGCTGATGCATTTCTGTGCGAGTAAGTAACGCCTCTTCCATGATTTTTCATTTATTATTATGCTTCTCTTTTCTTGTGGCAACATGTGGTGATTAGGATCCGGCTAGATGCAGCCCATGACTCAGGAGCATGTTGGTTGTTTTCTTTTTAATTGAAGAACATAGTTCAAGAGAGGGGGAAAAAGTTGCACAATATTAATGTGCAACATGATATGAAACTAACATTCTTTGCATGAAAATTGTCTGAGTGATTGATATGCATTAGATGAATTTTGCAGGCGGAACAAGACCTATATGAGTGAAGCACAAAGAAGTGCACTAAATGCCCTTCTCTTCCGTACTGGTGACCAGTCTAAAGACATAGTCCTTGCTCTTGCCACAAACCGTCCTGGTGATCTTGATTCAGCTGTGACAGACCGTATTGATGAGGTCTTAGAATTTCCCTTGCCTGGGGAAGAGGAGCGTTTTAAACTACTTAAGCTCTATTTGGACAAGTACATAGCCCAAGCTGGATCAAGAAAATCTGGCTTAATTCAAAATATGTTCAAAGACAAACCGCAACAAATAGAGATTAAGGGATTGACTGATGATATCATAAAGGAAGCTGCAGCTAAAACTGAGGGATTTTCTGGAAGGGAAATAGCAAAACTAATGGCAAGTGTCCAAGCTGCTGTATATGGAAGTGAGAACTGTGTGCTTGACCCAAGCTTGTTCCGTGAAGTGGTAGATTATAAAGTTGCAGAGCATCAACAGAGAAGAAAATTGGCATCTTCTGATAAAGCTGGTGCATGAGGATGTTTATAGAGATTTTCTGAGGAACCATTATTATAATGTAGGGCTGGCCCGTGGCATTTTAGTCTGGGCATGCATTATTCATTGATTGTTCCCAATATTGATGGGAAGAATTTTGGAATTTGAATGTAGTTAAGTTTCATTTGCGGCTGATAATCACTATTCAATACTTCACTATTCAATACGTAATGGCTGATTCAGGTTTTTTGCTATCACGTTGAATGTTCTTTTCTCCCTTTACCACTGATTTCATATGCTCTTGGAACTTACATGACTGTATTTCTTTAAAAACTATATCAGTTATATTGTTGTTGTTGTTGTTGAGGGCGCAATGAATGGGTATATGCAATTTAGTGAAGGATTGAACTACTGATATTATCACCATAGCTATTGAGCTGATATCGAGCTTGTATGTCGTTGGCGGATTGTTGCTTCATATAATCATATAGTAGTTATTTGTGTGATTAAAGATTAAAGTCCACACGGCGAGTAAGAATTTTTGTGGTTGAGACCTAGCTCTTTAAAAATGCAATGTAATTCATAATTCAGAAAAACAGATAAGTTAACTGTATTTATTTCCAAAACGATGTTTTTAGAATTAAAAAATTATAATTATAAAAATTATAATAACCCTGAAATAAATTAAAATTACAAAAACACCATAATTTCTATCCCAAAACGACGTCGTATTAGACTTATTGTAGATAACTTATTTACAAGTAACTGCACAAAAAAATAAACCCTTCATAATTTAGTATAAATAGTGTATATCCTGTAAACCATAATAGATCTATTCTATTATACTTCAGCCTATGATCACTCGGGTATAAAATTATGGTTATTTAGGTTTTAAAAGACTGTACAGTATGACGATGAAGTGGTTCAAGTCTAACTAAATTGTATTTATCTCTCATAAGCAGGTGAATTAATCCACTAACCTAGTAGGGCCTGGTTAGGACAAGGAAAAATCAGCTTTAATGAATGGGATTGCCGCTGTCTGCCCCATTTAAGACTGCCGCTTATATACTTATATTCGCCCCTTTGCCTCGTTAATAGAAGGGAAATCAGGACTCGAGCTTGCAAACTAGGAATTACTGATATAATATATAGATCGTTCAACGAAGGTGTACGTACAAATTACTAGCTCTGCACATAACAATATAACACCCCATCACTAGCAGATGGTAACATGAACAATCTTGTCATATTCTTATTTAGCAAATTGTAACAAAGTATATTTGTCACATCATGATTTAGTCAGAAAATAATGTATCCAAAAACACAGCAATGACGCTCAACAGTAATTCCCTGAATGCACACCAGAACACTTGTAGATAGCATGTCCTAATGGTGATGATCCTGAACATAACGCAAGCCACAATATTTGCAAATAGCTGGCTCGGACAAGTCAAGGCATATATATTCAATTGGATGTCCAAGGGCGGGATCGTTATCTGAAACCACAGACAGCAATATCCGAATTAGTTAACTCTTATATAATTAACCATGTTAGGCCGGAAACTGTAAGGTCTGCATCTCCTTCACTAAATCTTGTGCAAGTTAGAAGAGAGATTATATTTTTGCAGAAGTTGTACCTCCTTCACAAGCAACTATCCTGCCTTCAACCTTGATAGGTGGAACTTCATTAATCAGCTCCATTGGAGATTTCTTGCTTGTATCCTATTACAGAAGAAACAAACATAAGTTCCACAACTTCCTGACAGATTCCAGTACTTCAGACCAACTCCTATAAGCTACGCTTGCTAAAAAATAAAGTAACATACAGAAAGTTGGAGCCACTGAAAAGGAAATACTGATGTTAACTGATAAAGGCTTTTTTAATTTTTTATTATGTACTTTTTGTTAGTACAGAGAAGGGTAAAACCCAAGACAAAACAAGATCAGAAACACTGCAGGGCAAAGCAGCCCCGGAAACATCAGCTAACAGTAACAGGGATAGATTTGGAAGAAGAGTAACCCATTCCCTGAAAGAGAAATCCTGCAATAATGCCCCGTTGGCCTCCAGCCCCGTTGGATATTTTTTTATTATTATCCACGTAGATAGCAAAGCTCTCTCTACTAAATTTTAAAACAACCGCATTTCCGGGGACTCTAATTCAAGACCACTAGTTAAGTTGGAACAACCCCTTACCAGTTGACCCACGTCCTTGGTGGTAGCGCTATTGATTTCTTCCATCATGCTTTGTTCAAACTTTAATTCCCACTCTTTGTTTCTTCAAATTTATAATCGTCAAATTGCAGATTTCTTCCATATAAGTCACCTAGAAAGCCTCTCACACAGCAAATTTTGCCACTGCGATCAATTTACTAAATTCTTTTATCACATTCTCTCCCCTGATGCATACATGTAATGCTCATTTAATGCTGTGTGGTTGAGCTCTCCCTTATATTTCTTTCTTTTACCGTTTTTATTCTCTATTTATAACAACTGGTAAGATCAGAATTATAATGTACAAGGGAACTGAACTAGGTATTGGAAAATGAATTTGAGAAACAGAAGTTTATATACTAAATATCCACGTGATTTTCATATTTTAGCAAAGATAAGGGGTTATAACAGTGGCTAAAAAAGAACAATCCATGTCAATGACCATCAACAAGGGATAACTATGCCATAACCAAAAAGTCCACATCAAACAAAAAGGAACAGGATACCAGCTTCCCAAAAAAGCTTATACCTTCCACTTCATCAATCTACTATGCCAACATGGATTAAACCCTATCTGTTATAATCTCAGGATCTTTTTAACACACCTAAACCAACCAAACTTGTAACACTGATTTATACATTATGAGTTAATCCCTCATTTTACCACAATCATCCGCATATTTCTGAAATAATAACACTCGTTTCATCTTAATGTCTACAGTAATCCATCGTTACATTACACGATCTGAATTTTTCCTTTATTCTCCCCCCTCGTTTCACAAAAATTCTATCCAACAAATTGTGTCACTAATTTGCAATCAATAATAGGATGAAAAAAACACACAAGAGATTATAACCTAATTCGATTCCGAAGCTTGTTAAATCAAACACTAGCTCTTTCTGTTCTGTTCTGTTCTGTTTGTGATATCTAAGCATCAGGTGATTTTCAATCATGAAATATAAGTGTTGAATGATAATCAAAAGGAAATGAATACCTGCATCCACTTGGCGGTGTGCTCGCCGATTTGAGTGCTTACGAGGCTGAAACTTCGTGTGGTCTTCGATGATGAAAATCTGATGAGACTCCTCAAAACACTCGACGCCATCTCACAACAACTTAAATTCAGATCAGCGAATCAAACGGGGAAAGGGAATGAATTGCAGTGTTTGAGACTTTGAAACCCACACCCTCCGACTCAGATGACTGCACAAAACGACGGTAGATACAGAAAGTGGTTGGGCCTGGTCCCACCATTCAAATGGGTCAACCCATGTTCTATTTGGCCCACCAACCATGTGAATTATAAGCTGTTTTAATATAAAAAATAATTTTTTAAGATAAAAAAAAAAAAAGATTATTATTATTATCTAATGGATGATACTCCGGTGTACAGTGATTAATTAATGGGATAGAATATTATGCCTACGTCTTTTTCATTTTTCATGTCTAGTCTATCTATTCATTTTTAATATAATTAAATTAGAATTTCAACTAATATTCATCCTTTCTCTCTTCTCTTAAGATTATGATATAACGATATTGAAAATAAATAGGTAAAGTAAGCATGAAAAAAGATAGATATAATATTTTATCCCTTAATTAATATGTAGTTATTTTCCTTTGAAGGATGTTGCTAGGAAATACTTGTGCTTAATTTAAACGTTCTCAGTGTGTTGTAAATTGTTTAATAAAATTTTAAAAGTTAAATAAAAGTATATTATTTATTCGGCTTATGTTAATTTCAAACTCTGAAAATCCCTTCTTTCTTGACTGAAATGTATTATAGTACAGGTATTTTAAGTAATAAAAGCGATGCCTTACATGGTACAGACAAAGATTAGAATTTAGAACCATCTCATAGTATAAAATGTTATCTTATCTCTGTATGTTTTGCGTAACCCGAAAGAAAAATCTTGGTCAACTGCTATTTTTCTTCAACTTGGGAGTTGTGATAAAATACTAGAACATTATTAGTATATGTATAATTTTTTTATAAAAAAGAATAAATCAAATGCAAAATATGTGCATGTTGCCGTTTTCATATAATATTTGCATACATGGCTTGCACGCCATAAGCTAATGACTAAGTCTGTATAATTGACAATACTTGCAATAAGGCCAACGTTAGAGACACCATAGGGCTTAACAAAGCTATTTTTCAACTGCATAAATACACTCCATACAACTTTCCTTAGTGCTAAATTTGTTCTATAAAGAAAGGAATGGATGCCCCCAAGAAGTAAGAGTTCAAAATGGATTCCATTCTATGCCTCTAATGGCCTTGGTTGGAAAACTCCATGTCTTTAACTTAACTTAAAGTCACTCACATTCTGATTTATCTCCGTTTGCAGTGACCAAAATGTTGTAACCGTAGATGTACATGCTGCCAAAGATCTGCTCAATTCATCTGGTTACTGTTATCTTGATGTGAGGTAGCAAAGGGTTTGAGTTTTTTTATTTTTTAGTAAATAATAACATTCTCTACTTTGAATTTTTTTAGTAACAAATCAATAAAATGAATAAGAAACTAAAGTTGTTGCTTTTGCCTCTTGAATAGGTCGGTTGAGGATTTCAACAAAAGCCATGTTTTGAATGCTCATAATGTCCCCTATATGTTCATCACAGAAGAAGGTAATGTGAATGATAGCTTGTCTTTTGATTCAAGTTTCTAAGTCCTTTAGAGGCAGGAACTGAATATTAAAATCTGGGCTTGTTTTCTATGTCATGTTTGCAAATGAACAGGACTGGTGAAAAATCCTGATTTTGTTGGCCAAGTAGCAGCAATATGCAAGAGTGAGGATCACTTAATTGTGGTGAGAAATCTATAGTCTTTTTAATTCTCTAAAATATAAACAACGACAATTAGGACTGGCCACCATGTGCCTGCTCCTAACCTATTAGAAAACAGATAAAATCTAGAGATGCTGATGTATGATAATGGATCACAAATTCAGGCTTGCAATAGAGGAGGAAGATCCCTCCCAGCCTGCGTTGATTTGCTTGACTCAGTAAGTCCGTGACTAATCTCAAATTCTCAATCTTGATTCTCTGTACAAATACTATTGTTTATGCAAATCCCTTAAAAAACAGTTAATGTATGATGAGTTGAGTTGGTGACCTAGGCTAGTCAATAAGAGCATGATAGTAAAGATACCATGAAAGTCTATGTCAATTAGCTTAAAAGGGTGTCAGTTCATAATGGCAAAAATTCTTGCTTTTTGGTCTATATTCAGTGGAAAAATTTTGGTGCTCCAAACCCTACGTGGTCCTTCTATTCAGTGAGTGACACTTGGACAAAAATTTATTTTTTATTTCTCTTCTCTCTTCAATAGTTGTCTCATTTTGATTGGTTTGGACCATTGAGTTAACGGTGGACCGGGACCACCAAAATTCTTCTCGACTTGGTGTGCGTGTGTGGAATAAAAAAAAATGTATTTGGCTTGATATGGGAAATAAAAAAAATGCCTCCAAAATTATGTTGATTGCTCATTAAGGGTCTCGGTAAAATAATTCTAACAAGAGATAACATATGATGTGGTAACTGGTACACAGGGATTTAAACATATTGTTAACATGGGGGGAGGCTACTCTACGTGGGTGGACGCTGGATTTGCCGGGAACCAGCCAGCAGAAGAGCTCAAAACTAGTTGCAAGTTCCGTCCTTAAAAGTTCATGTTTCATGCAGCCTAGTGAACATTGAAGCATGTAATATCTTAGTGGCTATCTTGCCTGCTCTATTTTTATGAATAAAGCCAATATTTTTATTATTTTAATAAGAAAATGATGTAGCAGTTTGTAACTTTGTATAATAAATAGTTCTTGTGATGGAGCTGAGCTCTGAATTTTCTTTCCGTCAATTAGTCACAACAGCTGGAAAAAAACAACTCATAGCTACCTACAATAGCAGTTTCTAGCGTCTAAAAAATTTCCACGTTTTTAACTTAGTTTTGACCTTCAAAACGAATATTCATATGCAAAATTGCATTACAATCATGTTCAAGCAGAAAGCTTATTTCAGCATGCCGTATGGGATGATTAATTTGACGTGCAAGTTTGAGAATGTTAATGTTCCTCTTTTGTATTTTTTTTATTATTTTTTTTTGATACAATAGTGAAAATTGAACACATACTTAATATAAACTATTCAAATCCCTCACCGCTAAACTAATCCTAATAAGTGTATATATATTTTTTTTATTTCTTTCTTTCGGGCTGAAAAGTTTGAGAATGTTAGCAGTTCAATTAGGCTATAGCAAGTTAATCGTAAAAGTCCAACAAGTAAAAATTATAATTCGGAATGTACTAAAAAAAATTATAATTCGGCCACAAGCAGTGCAGAAATGAGGTTCAATCTACTTTACTAATAGACCGTTTATCATACTATTAGATATCTGGATTATAAACTTATCCTGAGTAAGAGAAAGAGTAAATCCCCAAAATATTATCCGGATAAAATTTGGCAATAAACAAATTAGTCCTTCAAAATGTAAAAATCAAATTTTGGTTCTTGAAGAAAAATAAATATCCATCACATTTGTCTGTTCGAGAAATTAACGTGTCCAGTGTCTTAAGGCTAATACGTCCAACATTAATAGCTTCATTACGGTTCAGGGTATAATTTTTGTATTTTCAAGAACTAATGTGTTTATCGCCAAATTTCTTAAGGAAAAATTTAGGGGTTTACTCCAAATAAAACAGCCACTGCAACAGGCCACGCACAAGAATAGGATTCGAGACACAAACACCCATTGAAATAAGAATTAAATCAATTATTCTGCTCATATCTTTCCAAAAGAATATCGTGTCTGACACATTTATCAAAATTTCCATCAAAGTAATTTTGAAATAGAAACACGCAGAGCCTCAAGGGGGCCCTAGTATATGCTACAAGACAAGCAGGTTAAGATGCATTGGTCTAAAGACCAACTAATATCTACTTCCAAAAAAAAAAAACAACTAATATCAACGTAAGCTGGAAAACTGTACAGTTTACACTATAAACCAGTGAATTCCGAAATTAACCCTATGCTGTTGGATTCCATTCCATGATCTATGCACTAAATACAAACCGATTTCTCACTTACTACAACGGGGGAACGGTTCCTGAGAAAATATGTCGGGGAAACATAATCAGTTCAAATGGTAAATGATGGATTGCAAGCAACAAATTTGCCAGTCTACCCCTAACAACAAAGAAGCAGATCAGTCTGCTTCTAACCTACAGAATGACTTTACAAAATATTATGGAGGTCTATTAATTGCAGCAAATTCATTTACAAAATATACAGACATGCTTAAATAAAGCAAGACGATGTGATAAAATTGCAGATTAATGCTCTTGTTTAACTCTTGCCTTTAATATTCCAGGAAGTGGGGGTGATGTGGGAGGCCTAACTGGCCCGTTTGAAACTGGAGGAGGAACCTGTGACTGATACAAGCCTGGCATGCTAGAACCTTCACCTCCACTGGTAATATTGTTTGTTATATTATCACTCTCTGGTCTCTCACAAAATTTCATTGCCTTGAGAACATAATTGTCGTAATGCAGCTCAAAAGGAGTACTGCAGAGAGAAGAGAAAGTAAGCATAAATAGGGAGCGGCAGATACATTTCCCAACAGGGGTACAAAAGCTTTGCACCTAAGCCACCACAACCGCCTACCCCAACTTTTCTATTCGAAAATGCTATTAGTGGCCTCTGCGTTTGACAATAATAGGATACACTAGTTTGACTTTTTAACTTTACGACACAACTTAAATTAGGCAGTCTACACATTAAGACAGCATACAGACAAAAAAGACAATAACGTCACCACTCTCAGAAAGAATGCCAACTTACCTATTGAAATCAAAATGTACAAGCTGCATATCTTCTGATATTTCCACTTCAACAGTTGCATGAGGACGTGTCTACAGTTTTAAAAAGCCAGAAATATGAGATTAATTAAATAGCAATACCATTAAGAGCCACATCCCGGAAGGGTGAGCAGATTCTTCATTAACAAGGAAGCAACTATCTAAGAACCATGACCAAGAATTCTCCACGTAGACCCATAACATAGCCTTGAGCAGATATATTGCCTAAAGGCAACCTTAGTAAAGTGAACTTAACAGTGTAAGCTGATAATATCCTTCTAATATATAGTATATATAGCAGTTACATTCCGTTGACATTCAAACGAGTGTCCACAAAAAGGGTGAAAAATATTTTTTGTGATTTCAATAAGCAGCCGCAGTCAGATCTCATCTCATAATAGAACATTTTATTATTCAAAATTCAAGCCAACTGGTTAAGTACTCAAGTACATGCAATTGCTAAGTAGGGAGCTGATAGTTGATACCAAAAAAAATTATAGTATCATACCAGTTGAAGATCCAAGTGAAAACTGAGCAACATTTGCTACTGGACAAATTAACCGAAAACAGGAGATAATGGGATGATGGTGTACCTGTACCAGAATGAAAGGTAAAGATACACCTCCGCTGGGAGGATTTCCTGAGCTATATAATTGCTCATTTCGTTCTATAAGGCTCTGAAGACCTACAAACTTGATGTAATAATACAAGTAGTTAGCAAACAGAAAGTAAGCATTACAGAACAGAAGTAATTTGTTAGAGCTTTCTGATAACCAAGTGCAAATATCAAAAGGAGCGAACCAGGTTCAGGATTTCATTCTCATATTAAATCCATTAGAGTGAGCTGGACTTACTTGCTCCTCGAGCTCTTGCAGATAGGCTGCTTTCTTTTCAATTCTATTTCTGAGCCCAAGACGCTCTGCCTGTTGAATGAAATACAATTAGGGAGTTATCATATAATGGTCCTTCGTTGTATTTTTGGATTAGCTCAGAACATCACTGCAGGGAAAGCATAAGCCACTTAGAGGAAAATTTTTACAACTCAAGACTATTTGCAGACCTTTAGTTCTTCAATGTCATTCTGACTAGTACGAGGAAGACCCCTCCATTGTATTTCCTTTTTATCCTTGGAAATAATATCCATTGCCATGAGAACATTCAGAGCATCATAGACCCTTCGACGAATGTTTTTCTCATCATATTGTTGCTGACAAAGGTTCACCCCACAAAAGATAAGTTCACAATACTTATCTTACTCCTTCAATTTGTGAATAGCAGATAATATGAAATTGCTTATATGAAGGAAGAAAACCTGATCAGGGGTCAAATCACTATTGATTGGATCAGAAAATTCAGCCACAAGTTCATCTGCCACCTATAATATAAATGACAATATAGATGAATAATAGAAGACATCATCAACTGGGCAGGCAGGATTCAAGTTCACAACTTCCTGAGGCCAATAATTACCATGATCAATTTTAGCCCAAAAGAAACAAAAATGCATGTTTGTTGACAAAAAAACTTAAGAAATTAATTGAATAATAACTAGTACAAAAAGAGAATGACAATATAGACAAATAATAAAAGACATCATCAACTGGGCAGGCAGGATTCAAGTCAACAACTTCCCGAGGCCAATAGTTACCATGATCAATTTTATCCCAAAAGAAATGCATGTTTATTGACAAAAATAATTAAGAAATTAATTGAAAGAAAGACACAAGTTTTATTCTATGATAAACATTATTTCTGAGCACATACTCTGCCATACGAAATTAAAGCAAGAGATTAATTTAAATGTAGCAAAAACGACTTAAAATAACCATCTAACCTCATTGTAAGTTGTTCTTCCCTTGCTTTCTACCTTCTCACAAACTAGAGACACCAACAATAAATGAGGGGGTGAAAAAAACAGAAAGAAAATATCAGCATGACCTGCACAAAATAATGTCTATCTAACAAGCACAAGAATCTAAACACCATTGCTGCAAACTTCATAGTTATCGTCCAAATACTCTGCATACTTAATGCAACTTTGCAAGGACAAAATTAATAACTAGAAAAAAAAAAAGGACAATGAACTTTTGGTTAAAGAACAAATTGGTCAAACAGGATAGATGAAAAACCTTTCATACTAAATTGGCGGAGCCCTCTTCCACTCTTATCACCTCCAACAGCCCGTTGGCCTCTCTTTTTCTTCTTGCTACTGTGTAGAAACTGATAGTGGGTGAGAATCGATTTTATTTTTTTTAAAGTCAAAGACAGAGCTTAGAGAAGTTGTAAAACCACGATAATACATAGCCAATTTCATGCCCGATATGTGATTAAAAAGTTAAACGGTCCTTTTAAAAATCTTAATAAAAGGAAGTCTTTAGCAGAACACATATGAAGAACAAGTACACAAAAAATAATCAACACTTCCTCCCAAGATAGACTAAACATATATTCCACAGGTCAAATAGCATTGTGCATCATATGAACAACACATTACATTCAACAGAAGCGCAAGAGATTACAGAGGACTCACGCAACTGCTCCGGGTGATCCAGCATCATCGCCGTGTATGTCAAGATTGTTCAATTTGAGAAAAGCGTTATCAGCGCCTCTACTCGTGGTTCCACAACCTAGCAGCTCCTCCTCTTCTTCGTCTCGACATGATTGCCGCGATCTCGTTCCCATCTTGCAAAGTGACTCACCTATTGGCTTTGGCAATTAAATCCAAAATCATAAAAGATATTCCAATTTAAAAGCAGTTTCGATTATGATTTCAAGGTATGCCAGAAAATTTCTTGTTAGATATTAATTAAACTATCGAACACGAAGGGGGAAAATGGCGCCTAGGGCAACACAAAATGAACAAGTAATTCGAAAACAAAGGGAAAGAGAAAAAGGACGGCAATCTACTAACCGTTCGGCGGTGGCTAGATGGAAGGAGTCAACGGCGGTTGCCGGCGGCAGATCTAAGCAAAAGGGGGGTTCCTTCAGTAGCAGCACAGAATAATACGTAATATAGATTTCGCTCCAAAATTGAGGGTAAAAGTCTTGAGTCTCTTGACTCTGATAACGCCTATTAGTGGGTCTAGACTAAATTATAAATTTTATCTGGTTTATATTTAAAATGGCGTAAGTTTATTAATTTATTTAAGTCTTTAATATTTCTAAGTAGATAAATTATCTACATTTATTTTACAAAATGATATCATTTTAAATTAAAAAATTATAATGAGAAAAATTGTTATAATCCTGAAATAAATTATAATTACAAAAATATCTTAATTTTCGCCCTAAAACAAAAAAAAAAAAAAAACCGAACCCTTTGTTTAAATCTATCACTCCTTCAACGCTTATTAAGATTTTGAGAAAAAAATTTATAATATAACTTTTTTAAGATATAATTTTATTTTATTTTACTAAAGACCAGGTTTAGGCTATAAAAAAAATACCAGGTTTAACATAATTCAAGCTACGAGTTCTATTTAAGAGGCGTTTGGTACGAGGAATATTTTTTTTTAGGGAAAAAAGATTTCTGATAATATAGTGAAAAATAATTTAGCTCTTGAAAGTAACGAAAAGTTGTTTGGTAGGTCAAAATTTTATCGAAAAAATATGCTTAATTTTAATGATGATGCGTTTGGTTGATTATAAAATATTGATGGGAAAGTTAACATAAATTACAAATTACCAATTTTCATACCTGAATTCATTACAAGAAGAATCATAGTACACAGGGAAAAATAAATACCATAAATTGGGGGCGATAGTTTTTTTCCACTTCTTAGTGCAAATGGGGATTAATGGAATATATTTTTAATGGCAAAACTCATGATAGCTTATACCAAACAATGACAAAAAACATTCCCCGCCCCATTTTCCCATCATTCTACACAAAATCTCCATAACAAACACCCCCTTACACTTGACTTATTATATGTCTGCGATGCAGGCATAAATGTAAGGATTTGTTTAATGGGTTATGTTTATCTCATTTTACATGAGATAAATAATTTTTCTACACACATAAAAAGCGTTGGGTCCCCTCACTTTTTTTCTCTCTCTTCTTACATGTGGGTTTCACTTGTAATTTTATTTCTACAAAATAAAGTAACTATTTTTCTACAAGAAAAGTATTTCCCTTGTTTAAAAGCTTTTTTTTGGCTTAATAAAACTTTCAAACTAACACTTGGATTCAACCGAAAGCAACTAAATGTTGTGTTCGTTTGATTCTAACATACTACTATTATAATTTTTTAGGTTTTTGACTTCTATTAAGTGGTGTATTTTGCTTTATAAAATCTGTTGAGTGAACGATATGATCTTTTTTTGAAAAATCCATATAAATATGTAATTTAGTATGGATTTGGAAATCTATTCTTAGAGAAATATATAAATCATTGATAAGCTTTCAAGACTTAAATTTTTGAGTTGAATTAATTTTTTACAAGGTATAAGAGTCTCATTTCATTGATTTTTTAGCATTGATAGGTGAACCTATGTATTATTCACTCTTTTATGCCAGCTGACCTCTCGTATGAAAGAACTTGTTAGAGGCACATGATGGGTGAAAATTAGATTAACAATATATTATAAGCCTTCTTTCCACTTTTGACATCATGACTTCAATCAATTTTAATTTATTACATATATATAGGAAAAGTGTTTATCCTTTTAAATAACACAATTTATATCCTTCCACTCTCACAAAGAGGTGAGACCCACACCTTTATTTTTTTTGTCAACTCTCTCTCCTCCTTTATCTATCTCTTTCTCTCTCTTAAAATGACACAATTTTACATTCTTTAAAATGACACACACTTGTTATCAAAAAAAAAAAAAAATGACACACACTTTACCCTATATATATATGTGTGTGTGTGTGTGGGTAAATGATTTCTACCGTCAATGGAGATAAGTTATCTCTGGTGAGCCCAAAATGACGTCATTTTGGGATAAAAATCCAGATATTTTTGTAATTATAATATATTGCAGGTTATATTAGTCTTTATTATTTCAATTTTTATCATTTTACACTAGTGTAAGTTACACTTTTAATCTTGTTCATTGATTCCACTTATATCTAAGGGCTCTAATTTTTAGTAATATGAGCCATTTGATACAAGTGGATCAATGATCAAGATTGAGTATAAAACTTTTAACTCTTACACCGGTGTAAGAATATCCTTTCCCGTTATGTATCTTTTTATATTATTCTTTATGTGGTCTTGGACGGGGAAAAGAAATGCTAGAAGAGTTGGAGCCCTTCTTATTTATTCAAGTCAGATTACATCAAAATAGGTTATGGTCTTGGGTGCTAATGTGCTATAGTGGGTCCTCTTCATTGGGTTATGACCTAGAACACTAATAATCATAAAAACTTAAATAAATTTAGAGTAGATACTTTTTTCGGTTCCTAACAAAAAATATAGTCTCCACTTTAGTTTCTTACAAAAAAAAAATTAGTCGATTGGTCCCTATAAAATTCAAAGTGGACCCATTTTAGTCTTTTTGAGGGACTAATGTGGGTCTTTTTTGAATTTGTGAGCGACCACGATTTCAACTAAATGGGTCCACTTTGAATTTGTTAAGGACCTCGGGACTAATTTTTTTTTTGTAAGGAACTAAAGTAGGAACCGTATTTTTTTTTATGGACCAAAAAAGATATTTACTCATAAATTTATTAAAAACATGATAATGTATACAAAAGATAATTAACAAATTATTATTATCAATTAAATTAAACTGAAGGCAGTTACACCAAGGCAGAACAAGACCTTGGTGTATAATATATAAGGATTAGGGGTGTTCATAAATCGAATCGAAAAATCAAAAATCGAAAAACCGAAAAAACCCGCAAATATTTACTGGATTGGATCGGTTTTCGGTTTGGATGTTGAAAACCGATCCAAACTTATTTTCTACCAAATTGGGCCTATCCCAAATAATAGTCAAAAATTATAAACTCACCCATTAGCCCACCCATTCGCCGATGTTCATAGTGGCCACTTTTGCAAAGCCAATGACTATCGTGGAAATCATGTATCTACATTTTCAAAATTGTAGCTAGTTAATAGAGAAGGAAAGAACAAAAACACTACGTGATGACAAATTTTGGCATTTACCTAGCAACATACATAACTGTATAAGTATTTCAAAACCAATTTTTAATCATAACTAGATTCAGGTAGAAATCCTTCTCAATTGCTAGTTATATAAAGGTCAAAGTTGAATTACAGATGAGAACATTAAATAGTTTGGATAATATAAATGTAGAAATACAAACTACAAAGGATCCAAGACAAATAATACTTCTCATTTTTTCTAAAAATAATTCTTATAAGTCATGTTTTTTTGGCTTTTCAAAAAATCGAAAACCGATTCAATTCAAATCGAAAAAAATTGGATCGGATTTGAAAAAAAATTCAAACCGATCGGATGATGTAATGACCAAACCGAAAGAATTGGATCGGATGGTTTTTTGCTTCAAAACCGATCCAATCCAGACCGCAAACGTCCCTAAGAAGAATGCCTCAAGTTGCCGTATAAGGGCCGAAGCAGAGGATGAGGACTTGACTCTCAAACTAATGGATGCATTTTTGCACCATTTAGTAACTTCAGTTTATATTCTGATGTCTCATTTCTAATTACCGCATGATGATTACTGTGGGGATTGTGTGACATAGCAGGTACTTGTAAGAAATCAACATTTTACGTGGTTCTTGAGATGATATTCCCCTCCATTCCCTATAGAACCCATCTACCTTTTGTCTATGTTGCAGGATAAGGAAACCATATTCCACATCATTATATCCTGTCTCTATGGCATAACCTAGCAGATGCTAAAGCTAACAATCAAAGTTTCCCACTCCTCTATTTATTAATTGAAAACATCCTTAAATCCATATATTATAAGCTTTCTGAATCATGATCCCATGACTAGCTATGCAAATATTAACCAACTCGTTTTATCTGAATTCAGGAGTACTATAGGATACTACTTCTGAACAGTAAGCTAGTATTAAAGATCGATCAGGAAGATTCTACATAGTCCATGCCATGAGCAACGTAATGATAGTGAAATAGTCATGATGACTATCAAAGATGGTCTCAACACAAAAGTGATTATTGATGATAAAGAATGCAGCGTGAACTATTTTGGTCTCATTGTATTTATAATTGATAACGTGAAAAAACTTTTTTGCATATTGATTTATCAAATTACTTTGCCTTCTTTTGATTTCATATTCTCCGAATTTCACTATGTTTTATTATTTTCATATATAATCTGCTTCTTTGATTTTCATTTATAATGGTTACCAGAAAGATCACACCATCCTTTTTCAGTCAATTTTTCACATATCTTACAAATCGCAATGAACCAAATAAACTTAAGCCACCTTTTGAAAAGAGGTTAACAAATAACAATAAATAATGGAGGGAAGTAAGGGTTTTTTTTTCCTTCTATTTTTTTAAACAAAAGATAGATAGAATTTGAAAGAAACTAATGAGTAGCTGATCGAATAATGTCAAAGCAACGGTGGTGCCTCCCACCATCATATGACAACGTCTTTCTCTGCTCCAAAAGTCCAACTAAAAACAGCTTATGTCCCCTGCTTGTTTCCACTATTTTGTGCAACTGTGGTATTCATTCAAGAAAGTGCTTCACTGCAAGTTTGACCGGAGTGTGTGCATGTGTTTGTGTTGTTGCTCTATATACTATAGATGTAGATTTTGTTCTGATTTCCGAGCAGATAATGACGACCTAATTAACCAAACTACTGCTTATAAACTACTTCGACAAACTACTTTTTCATCAATGGGTATGTTGTCCTTATCTCTAATGACAAAGCATTCCACTTTGTTAGGCTCGGGGCATTTTTCCCCCATAGCTTGATCAACAAGATTGTAAAGATGATTTCTTTTCAACAGTAAAAAATGAAAACAAAATTTCTTAGCCACATTAATCCTTAATAAAATACTATAGAGCTAGCGTGCATGGAATTGCACATGCCCAGACATCACCTCATATATATACTGCAATAATTCTCGTCGT